CGACAGGCTGGCCATGAGCCAGTAATACGTCTGACCCTGCTCTAGCTGAACCTGCTTGAGCAGGTTGTTGGACTACATGATTTCCCAAGATCCCTTCCAACCTCAACCATTCTAGGATTCTGCTAGGTGGCTGATACCTCCTAAACTGCATTTACCATAAGACATTCTCCAAAAAATAACCAGGCATTCCTAGGGAAATTTACACTAGTCTCAAAAAACAAGGGTCACAAAACAGCCTACGGTCAATCTGTTGGCCCAGCTTAGGTGAGTAGGCAGCTTGTTTTTCCAACTTCAGTCAGACGGACTGTAAAGCCATTGGTGTGGCTGCCAATCGTATGTTTTGTGGTGCAGATGATAGTCTCTCTAAGAAAAAGCAGAACCCTCATGATTAGCGCAACTGGTGTTACTTGTATATTCCATTTGACTTGATTATAGAACAAATCAAATACATTTTCACTGGATTATGTTTTCCATCCATTTATGTCATCACAACAGAACATAGGAATACATTATGAAGACTGCTTTCCATTTTAACCTTCACAAAAACTCACCAAAATCCCTCAATATATATTTCACTTTGTTTTGCTATCAAGCATAGGGATGAAGCCCTGCAGACAGCCACATGGCACTTTGATAAGAACCTTATCATCCTTGCCCCAGCCTTCAAGAGAAGTGAGGAATCATTACAATCTTCCGCTGCAATCAATAAGACTCAAGTATGAGTCAAGCGATTTTTTTTAGTTTGCTTTGACAATTTCTTTTGTTGTTTTCATCAAATCTGGCACAGTGATGAAGATGAGGGTGCCCATTTCCTTTCCATTTAAATACACAATTGCATTTCTTCTTCCCTGAACTAAAACATGCTGAAGATCCCTGTAACTCGACAAAGTGCTATGAGATGCACACTGGGCAGGAGTCTTCTGAATAGTTCAGTATGTTTTTAGTTTATCTTGCAATATTACATACAGAGCTTTAAGACTCACATCCAACATGCTGGCATTGATTTTCTCCTTCTCTGAATTGAAAGGGAGAATGGTGCTGATGCACTGTGGCTGGGAACTAGCAAATTTCAATGTCTTTCTCCAGTGATACACAGGCAGGGGGATTTGTGCATTGCTTTACAAGGAGGTGCCATCTGCCCTCTCTTATGTTATATTTTCTGACTTGGTTGGGCACATGTCAAGTTTTGTTATCACCATCCCAAAGCTGTGTATATTGTGATGTTATATAACCAAATTCGGTACACAGTGAAAGAAGTAAGATGTAGTTACTTGGTTTAGAAATGTGCTGTCAGAGATTAGCATCTGGCATGGCCAACTAGTTACAGTGTAAAACAAGAAGATATGGGCTAAGCTCTTGTTTCTGGACCAGTCAAGATACCGACTCAGTGGAAACTCCATCAGCCTCCTGGGAGGGAGAAGTGCTCTATAATCTTTGCAAGCAGACCCCAGAAGGAGCTTGTGAAAGGAAAGAAGAAGAAAACAACAGGGCTGTTCTACTAAAAGGAGAGAAGACAGAAACAAGAGGCAGAACAAGGAGAAATGTGGAGTAAGTAAGTAGTATTTCCTAAAGAGAGCCATGGCCTTACAGTTGCTAAGGGCCAAGCCAGCAGTTGTTCAACCAAAGGAGTAGCTCCACACCTCACCAAGAGCACTTTGGTACATAAGTATGCTCCCAATAGTTCAAAAAATGGATCTTATGTGTTTTTTCCCAAATGAAAACAGGACTGCCCAACAAATGTGTCAGTAGTACTTGTTTTGCAAAGGCCATTGGTGGATTCTTAATACAGGGCTAAGGATCCTGTGGCATCACTTACAAGCTGCAAGCGCTAGCAAGAAGCAGCACAACTACGAAATATGTGCTATTTTCAATGTGCCAGTGGCTTGCTAACCACATTATTGGACACCAGCTGCCAACAGCCCTCGTGAAGAGGCGGAGTGTGTTACCCACCTCATCAGATGCCCTCAGCACTGCAGTCCTGCTGTACAGTGCTGCTCTTCCATGCAGCAGCATGCTTTATGTAGAAAACACACTGCTTTGACAGCTATTATAAACACCCTGCAGTCACAGTAAAACACAGCCGTTTGCAGCTATGTAGAGAGCGAGCTTGTGTTTATTATGGTGGTGACTCTACTCTGTGTAAAAGTGGAGTTATTGACACCCGATGGACTTATTCATTGCTACATCTGTGCCCTTCATTTAAAGCCAGCAACGCTCTTCAGGTTGGAATTTTCCAAATACACCTCTGCCAGCCCAGTTCTGAGCACTCAGGGGAAGAGCCAGGACTACTTTGCTAATTGATGCTGATACACCAGGGAGAATCAGCACTGTCTGCAGCAGAGTTTTCCCTTAAAGTGGACTAGGTCAGTTGGATGGCAATTGCACTAAGTCAAACAGTAGTCCTCATA